CCTGGGACGATCGAGAGCTGTCAAAGGACGCTGACCTCGGGGGCGCGCACCGCAGGAATTGACGCGGGAGGTTGATTTCCGGAGCGCGCCTGCGTCGGACTTTGGAAGGTGTCGTGGCGTCGGGAGGGCGCGTCTTCTTGGACAAGACGGAATGGTGGGCCTCGGGAGCGCGCGCGCGCGCCAGTTGTGGGCTGTCAGGGGTGCTGGTCTCGGGAGCTCGCGTCTTCTGCAGTCCCAAACAGACGGCGGCCTGGGCAGCGCCCAGCTGGCGTGACTTCCAAGGGGTCGTGGCCTCTGGGGCGCGCATCGACTGCATGCAGTTCCTGACCAGCGAAGCGTAAGACCCAGGGCTTGCTGGAGCTCGGGCCTGCTGACGCTTCCGACGGGCCTTGCCCCGATTCCCAAGCATCCTGCGTGGTGTTCTGGTCCCCGTTGTGAGGAGCCAGCGCCCCGCGTCCTCCTCCTCCTCCTCCTCCTCCTCCTCCTCCTTCTCCTCCTCCTCCTCCTGCTCACATTGGCCTCTTCTGGTGTTCGTCGTCGTCCTCCTCCTTCTCCCCTTTCCCCCCCCCTCCCCCGACGTTTGCACGCTTCCGCCCCGCCCGGTACAGCGCTTCGTGGCTCCATGGGGAGCTCCACCGAAGGCCCCCAGTGGCGACGTTCGCACGCGTCAGTCCCACACAATACAGCGTTGTCCGCCCAGCGCAGTACAGCGCTTCGTGGCTCCATATCGAGCTTCACCGAAGCTCCAGTGGCGACGCTCGCACGCGCCAGTCCCGCCAAATACAGCGTTGTCCGCCCAGCGCAGTACAGCGCTTCGTGGCTCCATATCGAGCTTCACCGAAGCTCCAGTGGCGACGCTCGTACGCGCCAGTCCCGCCAAATACAGCGTTGTCCGCCCCACGCAGTACAGCGCTTCGTGGCTCCATATCGAGCTCCACCGAAGCCCCAGTGGCGACGTTCGCATGCGTCAGTCCCGCCCAACACAGCGCTGTCCGCCCCACGCAGTACAGCGCTTCGTGGCTCCATATCGAGCTCCACCGAAGCCCTTGTGGCGACGTTCGCATGCGTCCGCCCCGCCCAGTACAGCGTTTCGTGGCCTCATCAGTGGTGACGTTCGCGTGCGTCCGCCCCAGAAGGCCCCAGTGGTGACGTTCGCGTGCGTCCGCCCCACCCAGTGCAGCGCCTCGTGGCCCCGAAGAGTAGTGGCGACGTCCGCGCATGCGTCCGCCCCACCCAGCATAGCGTTTCGTGGCCGCATAGATAGCTCACCGAAGGCCCCGCGCCCGCTCCACACATTACAGCTTTTCGTGGCCCCATCAGCATGTCCACCGAAGGGCCCAGTGGCGACGTTCGCATGGCAGCCCCGTCCAATTTCGACACGCCCCTTTCACACTTCGTGCCCCAAAGGGGGGGGGGTATTTCTAAGGCCCAGAGGCAGCATCCGCATGATGGCCCCACCCTCGGCACACTCTTCAAACCGCTTCGTGGCCCATCAGGGGATCTACCGAAGGCGATAGCCACAACGGCGATGCTCACAACTGGATTTCGTAGGGTCTCCCGCCATGAAAACTTGTTACGGTCCTGTGTTCGTGGCATGCTTGCAGCGAGAGCTCGCGACATATTTCAAGCTGGGTCCCGTCATTTTCTTGACGGCCCCGTCGTGCCAACCCGAGCCCCCCGAACCCGAGCCTTACTTCTCTTTGACACTAGGGCTCGTGGCCTCGGGAGCCAGAGCGCGTTGTAGTGTACGAAGGGGTCGTGGCCTCGGGGGCGTGCCTTTTTATCTATTGTGGCGCAGTGCGCCCAAGAGCTGAGGGAACTTAGATCCGGGAAGGTGGATTTGGGAACTCTGGGCCTGGGGAGGGGGGTCGGGGCGGCGGCTTTTGGCTGTTGCTGTTATTTATCGTAGTTCTGATTGTTGTGTCTATTTGTTGTTTTTTATTTTTTTTGCTGTATTTATTGACTGTTTTGTTTTCTTTGTTTTTTTATGTTGTTTTTTTTTTGTATGTTTGCTGAGCCTCCTTCTGAAGTGCTGCAACAAAGCAGCATGCCTCATGCAGTGGTCCAGCGCAGAAGCTAAACCTTGCCGCCCGTGGCCCACGCACAGCGGGTGCCTTCGAGAACGGTCGCTATATCGGCGTTGCTGCGTTGGAACGACGAGACTACGACGATGACGACGACGGACGACGACACGACGACGAGACCTTCGACGGACGACGACAACGACGACGACGACCACGACGACGACCGACCCGACGACGACGACGACGTCGACCGACGGACGACCCGACGGACGCGACGGACGACGACTGCATGCCGCGATGACGACGACGACGACGACGACGACGACGGCGGCGGCGGCGAAAACATTCAAGCGCGTCGGTGAAATCATGGATTTTTGCCTCTTGGGTTAACTATGTTGTTCGAAAGAGCGTGTTCTACCGCTGCTGGCGTAAAACCAAGGGGGGTCACTGGGGGTTCCCAATCTGGGGGGGGTCACTACCGGTTCAAACCCCTATACCCCCCCTCGGGCCCCCAGTCCATCATGAAAAGAGGGGGGGGTCACTACGGGTTCGAATCCTCCCCCCCCCTCGAAAACGGGGGGGGGGCACTACCGGTTCGAACCCCCCCCCTCTCGAAAACTGGGGGGGTCACTACCAGTTCGGGACCCCCCCCTCGCCGCTGGCAAACGATTCCCGCTCCTCGGGACAGTTGGACATTGGTGGGGATGCTGGGACAGTTGTGGGAAAGGTGGTGGTGGTGGGGACAGTGGTGCGGGGACAGTGGGACAGTGGTGCGGACAGTGGTGGGGACGGTGGTGTTGGGGAGAGTGGCGAGGGGACAGCGGGACAGTGGTGGGGACAGTGGGACAGTGGTGGGGACGGTAGTGGTGGGGACAGTGGTGAAGGCGGTGGTGAGGACAGTGGTTTCACAGGAGTACAGTGGGGAAAAGGTGGGCACAGTGGGGACAGTGGGACAGTGATGGGGACAGTGGGGACGGTGGGACAGCACAGTGGGACAGCGGCGGGGACAGTGGGACAGTGGTGGGTACATTGGGGACAGTGGGACACTGGTGGGGACCGTGGGGAAAGTGGGGAGAGTGGGACCGCGGTGGGACAATGGTGGGGAGAGTGGGGACAGTGAGACACTGGTGGGGGCACTGGTGGGGACAGCGGGGACAATGGTGGGAACAGTGGGGACAGTGGGACAGTGGTGGGGACGGTGGTGGTGGGGACTGGTGTGGGGACAGTGGGAGCGTGGTGGAAACAGTGGGACAGTGGAGGGTTCAGTGGTGGTGGGGACAGAGGTGAGGGCGGTGGCGAGGACGGCGGTGGAATAATGGGACAGAGGTGCAGTGGGGATAGTGGTGGAGACAGTGGGGGCAGTGGTGGAAACAGTGGGACAGCTCAGTGGGACAGCGGCGGGGACAGCGGGACAGTGGGGACAGTGGGACAGTGGTTGGGGCCGTGGAGAAAGTGGGAAGAGTGGAACCGCGGTGGGAACAGTGGTGGGGGTGGGGACAGTGCGACAGTGGTGGGGGCACTGGTGGGGACAGTGGGGACGGTGGTGGGAACAGTGGGGACAGTGGTGGTGAGGACAGTGGTGCTGGGGACAGCAGTGGGGGATGTGGTGCGGACGGTGGCAGGGACCCGGGAGTCGTTTGCTGGCGGTGAGCGTGGGGGGGGAGGGGTTCGAACCAGTAGTGACTTCCCCTCCGGTTTTCGAGGGGTGTGGGGGGGGTTCGAAGCCGTATAGACCCTCCCCCCGGTTTTCGAGGGGGGGGGGGTCGAACCGGTAGTGACCCCCCCGGGTTTTCGAGAGGGGGGGAGTTCGAACCGGTAGTGACCCTCCCCCGGTTTTCTGGAGGGGGGGGGAGGAGTTCGAACCGGTAGTGACCCCCCTCTGGTTTTCTGAGGGGGAGGCGGGGGAGGGGTTCGAACCAGTAGTGACCCCCCCCGGTTGTCCGGATGGAGTGGGGGGGGTAGGGGACGGGGGGTTTGCCGGGGGGAAGGGGGAGGGGAGGCTCCAGCTGGGGGGGGGGATTTTCGGAGGGGGGGGACCCCCGTGTTCCGCAGGAAGAGGGGGGGGAATTTTCCACAGTAAAACGGCGGTGGATCACGCTCTCTCTGTTGTTTCCATCCTACTTACGGACCGCATCCCAGAAATATTTTCGAGCGCCCAGAAAAGTGTCGAGACAGAGTCGAACGAGTATGAGCACCGTTGATGCTCGCCTCTTTGGGGCCTTCGGGGCTTTTGAGGCCGTCCTGAGAGCATCTTGGGCCGTCTTGGAGCGATATTGGGCTGTGTCAGGGCCTTGGAGCAAGCCGCGGTAGAAGTGAGCCCGATGCGTTTGGGAGGCACGGAGTCGAAGGGGAAAGCTTCTCTCAGGGAGAGTCACAACCTCGGGGACGTCTCCCTCCCCCCCATCCCTCCCCACCCCCCACGCACCGCGGGGGAGGGACCAAACGGAGATTTTCTGTCTTTCGACTTGATTGCGGCCTTGCTCGATTTTCCGTTGGCTGGGACGTTTGAGGAGGAGGGCCCAGGAACCGGGGTTGAACGGCGACGAAGAAGGCGGCGGCGGCGGTGGCGACAACGACGACGACGCCGACGACGACGGCGACGACTACGACGACGACGCCGACGACGACTACGAGGACGATGACGACGACGGAACAGCGTCAAGGGAGGGGAGTGGCGACGACGACGACAACTCAAACGGCAAAGCAGTTTTGGGTGCGTTCCTCTGATTTGGCGGGGAACATGTCCGTGGCCACGACCGCGCGGTCCCCGGGCTCCACGGCCCTCGTCCCGTGGGCACGGAGGCCCAGGTCGAATAGACACTCCAGGACTGAACACGTCATGGTCGTGGTCGTGGTCGTGGTGGTGGTGGTCGTGGTCGTGGTGGTGGTGGTTGTGGCGGTGGTGGTGGTGGTCGTCGTCGTCGTCGACGGATCCCAAAGTCGAAGTGGGGGCGGGGTCGCGCCTCGGAGTGCAGACGGAGAGCGCACGGAGGCTATGGGCATGCGCGCGTCGCCCGCCAGGAGCAGAAGCAGCTCGCCCTGCAGCAGCTGGAGGAGAGAGCCCGACCGTCAACGGGGGGCAGCCGTGCACCACCACCGCCGTCCGTGGCCGGGGCCTCCCTCCTGCTGCTCCTCGTCCTCCTCCTCCTCGTCCTCCGGCTCTGGTCCCTGGGCCAAGGTGTCCCTGGCTGGGGCCTCCCTCTTGCTGCTCCTCGTCCTCCTCCTTCTCCTCCTGCTCTGGTCCCTGGACCAAGGCGTCCCTGGCCGGGGCCTCCCTCCTGCTGCTGCTCGTCCTCCTTTTTCTCCTCCTGCTCTGGTCCCTGGACCAAAATGTCCCTGGCCGGGGCCTCCACGGTCCCTAGGCTTAAGTCGGGCGTGTCCTTCCACGGGAGGAAGATTCAAGCATAGTAGAAACAACAGTCTGGTGACGACGTTTCGTGCTCTTCTGACTACTTGGGGTTACCTTGGACTGGAAGACCAAAATCCGCCTGTAGAAGGACATTCCCGACCTAACCCTAAACATTGGGGGGAAGAGACAGGCTGACCAGGACCAAGATGTCACGGAATCTCGTCGACGCCGATCTTGGTCATAGTCCATGCTGGCCCTCGCCGATTCGCAAAGAAGTTTCACGAATTGACGCTGACCAAGCTGGATGGTGACCAATATTACCATCGACGTCACATGGGTTCCCAGGACCCCAGACATGGTGCGTAGGCCATCCGGCCGAAGGGGCCCTAGCCAGGGATGGGGTAGGTGTGCATCTGCCGCTTCCGTCTTCGAGAGCCACCGACACACCACACAAGCATCAGAGAGCTTCCAGAGGCCCGCGCGGACTCCCCAGGGCCGCCGCCGAGCAGCCCCTCGCCGCATCCCTGGGCGGCGCCGCAAGCTCCCAGGGGGATTCCCGGGAGGGTGTCCGGCGCCTGCCCGAGAAGTCCGCGCAGACCACCGGAGGCAGTTTGGCTTTTTCGTCCGCGGGCGACCCGTGTGCACCGCGCCGCGCTGGCGTCTCCCGAGGCGTCGTCGCTCCTCGGCCCAGGAAGGAGGTGATGCAGAGAGTGCTCGGGTGGATCGGAGCCGAACGGCTGTGCACTGTGCCGCGTCGGGGCAGGGCCCGGAGGGAGAGTCCAAGCACGCTCTTTGTGCCCCCTGGCGCACCAGGAGTGCAGGGAGCAGCTGGATCCCGGCGCGCTGAACGAGGCGCTGAGGAGGTGCCAGGAGCTCGGCGTGCCGTGGGACGAGCTGGAGGGCGAGCGGCAGGACCAGCCACATGTAGCGGGGGCGGCCAGGAGGGGGTGAGGACCGGGGGGGGGGAATGTATATCATGGCGTGGGCCATGATCTCTCCCCAGATTTCACGGCGCCTCTTCTTACTTCAATACGTCCCCGGCCCCGCCCCTGGGCCGCGCAGATGCCGCCGGCCATGATTTGCGCCCCCCCCTCTTGGACGCCCCTCTCCTTTACCAGCCTGGAACCTGTCCCTATCCCTATGTTGGGCATCGCCTCGTCACGATGGCGATCTCAGGGATGATTCCCTCAGTTTCTGAGGGGGCATCCCTGAGATTGTCATCGCCTTTTGGCGTGTCCATCTCAGGGATAGGGATAAGCTCGAGGCTGATTCCTCCTGGCCGCCCCCGAAATGTACAGAGTGGTCCTTCGCCGCAGGGCTCTCCGGAGGGTAGTTTTCGGGGGGCGCCGGGGGGAGGGGGGCGCAAAGCCTTTTGTCGGGCGTGTCCCACTACAGGGAGAGCTTCGACGAAAAATAACAAATACCCCAAAAGGTAACAAAAAAAATCAAAAACAAAAGTCTCCAGACAATGTTTGGATTGTTTTTGGACCATTTTGGGGGTATTTTGTGTTTTCGTAGAAAATCCATGTGTAGGGGGACAGGCCCGACTTAAGCAAAGCCAGGCATCACACCGTGCCACCGTGCCAGGAGACCCCAAGCAGCAACGCTGCGCGAGAGCACAATGCGTCAACATCAGAGCGGCGGGGCGTGTAGTCAGTGTGCATGGCAAGGCACGCGGGTTCGGTCCGAGCATTCTCTTTCGGTGGAGGGCAAAGGGGGACATCTGGAACGCCGTTTCGATGGATTCTCGAGGCCCGATACCTGCAACAGGGGGAATCCCAAGACGGATCGACTTTCGAGGTGCACGCTGAGGCCTCCGCCCCGCGAGCCCTCCACCCCGAGCCCTCCCCACCCCGAGAGCGTGCCCAGACGGCACGGACCACCTCCTCCCCTCGCCTCCGCGGGCCGGGCGCGGCGCGGCACGGCACGGCGCGGCCCTGCGCGCCGCGGCACGCCCTCCGCACTCCCAAAGGGGGGGGGGGGGCATGGCCCACAGGCACGGCACACAGGCACGGCACGCGGGCACGGGGGCGGCACACGGAGCAGGTCTCGTGTGGCACTTCTGATGGGCCTGTTTCCCACCACCACCACCAGGACCCCCTCCCCCTCCCCCTTCTCCCCCTCCCCCCCTCCCCTCCTCTCTCCCTCCTCCCCTTCCTCCTCCTCCCTCCCCCCCCCCCCCCCCCTCCCCCCTCTCCTCCTCCTCCTCCTCCTCCTCCTCCTCCTCCTCCTCCTCCTCCTCCTCCTCCTCCTCTTCGTCATCCTCCTCCTCGCCCCCCTGCTCCTTCCCCCCTCCAGCTTATGGTGGTGGTGGTGGGAAACAGGCCCATCAACTTCGGCGCCTGGGCACGGCACGCGGCACGCGGGCACGTCACGGCACGGCACCTGCTTCGGGGAGGCGCAGGACTCGAGCAGGCCAGCGGAGCTCGGGGTTTGCCGACGTTTTCTGGCGATTTTTGATTGGCGGCTCACAAGGACAGATCCAAGAAGCGGGACGGACTCGACTGGGGCACAGGGCGAGATAATTAGCTGCAGAGGCGCATAGGCCGCTGTAGCGGGTGCACGTGCCAGGGACAAAATGACCTTCATTAGGACGCTGGCGGCCCGACATCGGGGAACGCAAGCACAGAACTGGAAACGGACGGAAGGAGCAGTCGCACACGTGGCGCCAAGCTCTGACCGTACCGAACAGCGCGAAAGGGCGGACGTTTTCTGGCGAGCGCGTCCTGGGATTTTTGACGGTGCACTTTTCGTGGGATGCTTGCAGCGGGAGTTCGCGTCCGATGTCAGATCGGGTCTCGTCATTTTTATGGTGGCCCCGTCAGGCCAACCCGAGCCCCCCGTACCCGAGTCTTACGTCTCTCCGAATCTTCTGCGTTCTAGAATCCTAGGCGCGGTGAGAGTCCCCGAGAGTCCCACCTCGCGCAACTCTGCATACTGCGGCCGCCAGAACCCCAGGTCCCTCGAGTGTCCCCGAGTGTCCCGCCTCGCGCCGACAAATCAGAACGTGGCAGAGCGGTGTCGTAAAATGGCAGAAGCATCTTACAGTACAAACAGAGCATATTTTCACACCGCCTAACAAAGCACATCCGAGCATAATATATCATACCATGGTAGACCACACTGGAACATACCACACCATGACAGAGCATTGCATATCTTAGCGCAGCATCACAGCACGGAGCTTTCCATAATACTACAAACCAAACGTATCAGCATAACACATCGCAGACTTGAACATAACAAAGCAGCATGTCATAGCCTGACATAGCACGGCATCGCATAGCATGGCGTAACACATCATACCAGTGCATGATGGGCCACATCGGAGCGTACATCACATGTCACAGCCGATCATACCATACCATACCGTGAGACAACATGTCATAACATAACGTACCATGGCAGACCACGCACAGTGTAACACAACATATCATATCACATCGCATTAGTGATTGCATAGCAGCACATCTCATACACAATACCGTTACAGAGCGCGACATTGCATGTTTCAGCATGCCATACCATAATATTGAATAGCACCATAAGCAATGCCATACATGATCATACGTAACAGAGCATATTACCACACCCCAGATCATACCATTCAAGAGCATCACATGTCATACCATGACATAACATATATTATCATAACAACTTTCCAACGGGCTCGAGCACCGTCGGGATCAAACGTCGAAGTTTTCGATGGGGATTGCCCGAATCAAAATAAATGGAGTTGTTCGCATTCAGCGTCTCAGAAGTGGGTTCTCTTCGAGTAGTTCAGACCCCTTAATTACAGCATTCGCTGTTTAGGGAATACAGAATTTGCTTAGACGTGGCGACCTGGATGTCTTGTAGGCCCATAAAGAGATGATGTAATAACATGTTGTGGCGACCTGTGTTTAGAACATGTCTGGCTTACGAACTACTGTTTCCCAAGCCATCGGACTTCCTCTTCTAATCGCACTGCTTGTTTGTGTCATTCGATCGTTCTTTTCCCTCGTTCCAAGACAACTTCTTGGCAGGCCTGCAGGGATGCCGTCATGACCGGTACCTTTTCGAATGTGCGCAGGCCGTTGTTGCCGCATCGCATGCAGCGATCGGCAAGGCCGCACACCAGAGGCCACGCTTGCCCGGGCAGGGCCACTCCTCTTTTGGGGCAACCGAGAGGTGCCGACACCGCTGCTCCCAACAAACCGTTCCCGGGGCGCCTCCTGACCAGAATTCCGGGGCACATCCGGCCGTGGCGGCGACGAGGGCCCCCCAGGATGCCCGGAGCAGAGGACAACGACGTTGGGCCTGTTTTCCACCACCACCACCGTAAGTTGGAGGGGAGGAGGAGGAGGAGGAGGAGAAGGAGGAGGAGGAGGAGGAGGAGGAGGAGGAGGAGGACCCCCTTTCCCTTCAAGTTCTGGTGGTGGTGGTGGTGGTGGAAGTCAGGCCCATCAAACGAGGCCCAGGGCAGCGGCATCGGGGCCTTTCCCTCGCTGCCCTGCGGGCGGCCGCGAGGAGTTCCTGGCCAGGGCCGGCGCCGCCGCGGAGGAGGCCCTGAGGGGCCTCGCGGGCGTGCGGGACCGCGCGGCTCCCCCGGAGCTGCAGCTCTCGCTGGAGGCCGCCCTGCACCTGGCCCGCGCGCCCGGCCTGGGAGGCATGGACTGGAAGGTCACCGCGACTCGCGCGGGAGTGGGAGGGGGAGGGGCTTCGGGAGGGGGAGGAGGAGTAAGAGGAGGAGGGAAAGGACAAGGAGGAGGAGGAGGAGGAGGAGGAGGAGGAGGAGGAGGAGGAGGAGGGGGAGGAGCTTCGGGAGGAGGAGGAGGAAGAGGAAGGAGGCAAGGTCCATCTCGCCTCCTTTCCCTGCCTTTGACTCGAAGAAGAAAATCAAACGTACACTTTCGGAGCTCCGCACGGATTTCTTGGACTTGCGCTGGGCCCCCGTGGCGGCGTCTCCGGCGCCGCCCCTGCCGCGCTCCGCGCGCCAGGGAAGGGGTCTCCGCGCGGATCCGAGAACTCCGCGCGGACCTCCAAACGTTTACAATATGTTTTAGCCGTTTCTTTGTTTTTCCATTGATGGTCGTCCGTGCAAACACGCAGAGGAGGGAAAGGAGCCGGCTAATGTAAGGTCTGGGCGATAGCGGGGTCCGCCTAGATCTGGGGCGCCTAGATGGGGTCCGAGTAGAGGGGGTCGGAGGATCGCGCCGCATCGCCGATGCATCGGCGATGCGGCTCGATGCGGAGCCCGATTTTCGCCATGCCGACGGCACCATTGCATTGCCGACGTCGCAAATGCATCGCCGATGCATCGGCGATACATTGGCGATGCGGCTGGATCCTCCGACCCTATTTACTCGAACCCCACCTAGGAGGCCTCTAAGTGAATCGCACCCTTCCCTCTCGCCTCCTTTCCCTGCCTTTTGCGCTCGTCCTTGAATCATTTTAGGGGAGGAACAGGAACCTATACGACCACCCTTCGGATGACGAGGAGGTCGGGGTGAGGGGACAGAACCGTCTCCTGGCAACTGCGATGGGTGTGATGATGAAGATGCTGGTGGCGCGCCCGTGGGTTGGCGACGACGCGGGATGACGATGTTGCGCCGCGATGTGATGTCATTATCGACCCGACAGCTTCGGTAGCAATGATCGCAGTGACAGTGGTAGTGATTGCATTGGCAGCGGTGGTTGCACTTCGATGAGTGGTCGCTAGGACTGGAACCAGGGAAGACCACTGAACCGATCCCACAATCGATATCACTGCCGATCGCACTTGGTGGGTTTAGTTGATCGGTCTAACAACCCATATCACGTTCGATCTCACTCAACGAATCTCGATATCGATCCCACAGTCGATCTCACAATCGATCTCACTATCGATCTTACAACCTATCTTACCGTCGATCTCACTCGACCGATCTCAATCTTACTATCGACCTCGCATTCGACCTCTGGGGCGATCTCAATCGATCTCACGATCGAGCTCACCTTAGATCCCACTGTCGATCTTACTCTCGATCTCACAATCGATTGCGCTATCGACGTCACTATCGATTGCACTATATATGCAACTATCGATCCCACTATCGATCAGACCGCTGCTCGCACGATCGATGCAACTACCGATTTCACTACAAACCTCACCATCGATCCAACTACCGATCTCACTACCGATCTCACCACATCTCGGTCGTTACCGACCTCACTATTGATTGCATTATCGATCGGGACACCGTCGGGACACCACGGCGGGCCACCGCGGGACACCGCGGGACACCACTGGACACCGCGGGACACTGCGTGACACCACTTGGACACCGCGGGACACTACGGGACACCAGCGGACACCACGGGACACCTTCGTGACACCACGGCGGGACACCGCGGGACACCATCGGGACACCGCGGGTCATCACGGCGGGACACCCCCAGCCACCGCGCGCCCACCGGAGTGCCGGATTTTTGCATCCGGATCGCCCTAGCGAAAGCGGGATCATTCCTCTCGCGCGCCCACGCAGCTTCGCCTCGCCAGCACGCACGTCACGAGCACGAAACCGAACCGCGCTCTCACCCCCCGAACCTCCGACCCATAACGCTACCCTGGCCTGGTTTCCGCCTTGTGTGTGCTCCTGGGGCCCTCGTCGCCACCGCTGAATTTGCCTCGAAATCCTGGTCAGAAGGCACCCTGGCCCAAATTGGTGTCTTTTCGTGTGCCCGACGCGGGCTCGATGCGGACTCGACGCGGATTTGGCGTGAATTCGACGCGGTATCGACACGGATTCGACGCGGACTAGACGAGTCCGACACGGACTCGACACGGAGTGGACGCGGATAGGGCCGCGACGGGACCGACAAGGTCCCCCGAGGATGCAGCACAATTTTTTCCCTCCCAGACGCCTGCGCCTCGAAAGATCCGCGGCGGGCAGGTCTGGCCGGTTCCAGTCCTCGGGGCCGTCACGACATCTTCTGGGCGAAAGGCCAGCCCCTGGGGGAGGGGGTCGGGAGGTGTAACATCGGGCGGGTGGTAATGGGGAGGGGGTGACGAGGAAGGCCTTAAAGGGGTCTTTTAGACCCCTTTTGGGCCCCCGCTGGCTCCGAAAGGGGCCCTAACGTGCCCCCCGTTGAAGGCCGTCGTCTTCACCTCCCATTTGCGTGGCCCCCCCCCCATTCCCACCCGCCCGACAACGGCACGTGTGCACAAGGGAGTCGGGGTAAACTTTCAGAGGGGCAGGGGAGGTCCTGAGAAGGATGCGTTCCAGGGAGCCGCCAGGGCTTCCAGGATCTCCGAGCGTTCCGCGCGGGGTCCAGACAGGAAGGCCGCCAGAAGTCCTGGAGATCTTGGAACGCGTCCAGGGCACATCCTGCCGTGACATCCTTTCCGCCCTACTCGGGCTGGACGAAAGGGGGGGATTGGGAAAGGGGGGGTTACGAAATTTGCTGCATGCAGCTGGTTTCGGCCTCGCCGAGGGTCCCATTCCTCGATACGTAGCCGCCTTCGGCGCCAGGAGGCGCCGGGGAAATTAGCTACGTGAGCTGATTCTCAAACCCCCCCTTTGCTATCCCCCCCCGTTCGCCCGACCCGCCCTACGTTGTTCGGGCGTGCGCGCGGACTCCCTGCGTCGGCGCTGGGCCCCTCCCCCCCCCCCTGGGTGGCGTGAGGCTCGCAAGGGCTCCCTCGAGGGCGCGAAGTTATTCGCGCTTCGCGCTTCGCGGTCCTCGTTCCTTCTCCCCCTCCTCCTCGTCCTCCTATTCTCCCTTTGGGAGGGCGGCGCGAGAGCGCGAAGTTATTCGCGCTTCGCGCTTCGCGGAGCGCGAAGCGCGAAGTTGGGAGCCCTAGGTGAGGCCGGCACCGCCCCTGGCGCGCCACCTGGCGGGCGGGGCCCAGCGCCGGCCCTGCAGAGATCGGCGCGGCCTCGGGGAGCTCGGGGGCGGTGCGGGTGTCGGGGGCGGAAAAGAGGGGGGTGATGACGAGGGGGGGGGTGGATGTCATGGCGTGGGCCATGATATCTCCCCAGATCTCATGGCGCCTCTTCTTATTTCATTACGTCCCTGGCCCCCCCGCTGGGCCGCGCACATGCCGCCGGTCATGATTTGCACCCCCCCCTCTTGGACACCCCCCTCTTGGCCGCTCCCGAGGGTGTGCGTCGGACAGGTTTCTCGACAGGAGGAGTATCCAAAAATAGTGAGAAACATGGCCTGGGGACGATTTTGCCGACTCGTAGACACATGTTTGAATCTTATTGGACTCGTGTTCACCTGTCCTGCAACATCCGCCTGTTTCAGGGCATGCCCTTCTTAGATCGAATAAGAAAAATCACCATAAACAAAAGCTTCTGGAGGTCCGCGCGGGTTTCTTGGATCCGCGTTGGGCCCCCTCCCCGGCGGCGCCTCCGGCGCCGCCCCTGACGCGCTTCGCGCGCCAGGGAGGGTGTCCAGCGCAGATCCGAGAGATCCGCGCGGAGCGCCCAAAGTTTATGTTTACGGCGTTTCTTCTTTTTCTTCTTCTTTTTGTTCTATTTGCAACACCCCTGCCTCTCAGAAGGCGCGGGCCTTGTCTGGAGATGTGGGGCCGGCGCCCTCCAAGAGGCATCCTCATTCTAAGAGGTCATCCCACCTCCCCCAACCCCCTTGTGCGTGCCGCCAAACTGATCTACCTCATCCATGGGCGTTTGGGGTAGATGGTCTCGCACCATCCGATCGTCTCTGCTCGCTGGTCTGCGACCACTACCGCTGGTTACGGACAGAAAGCATCAGGTCTCGGTAACGGGTAACCGGCCATCGCCACGCGCCCCCCCCCCCGCCCCCGCATTTCGAGGTTTGCTCGGGAGGCGACGGGCCCCGCGCACAAGTGGGGGCGTTTGTGTCGCGACACGTCGCGCTCCTTCCGGCGCGGGCGTCCGGCGTGCCGGGTGGGCGCTGTCGGTTCTTCCCTTGGTGGGCGTGTATCAGGAAGAGAAAAAACACACAGACACAATTAATCGTCGAGTCCCAGGAAAATATGGGAAAATAAGGGAAGTGGGGGGAAGACGAAAACCTGGAAAATATGGGAAAATATGGGGAATATCTTTATTTGTGTGTATTTATTTGTGTGTCCTGGGGCCCCTTTAGTGTATTTCGCGGTCGGTGGTGTCAACCGGAAACGGAAAGTTCGTGTCGCGTCGACGCGGCGGCGACCCCGCCGCGGGCGTTCGAGGTCGAACGCCGCCGGTGGCCCAGAGTCGGCCAATATGGAACGACCTGGCGACCGACAGGCTGCCGATCGTCCAAGGCGGAGCGATCCACGCGGTGTCAGAGACCAACGCCAGGCTCGTCACCACACGAACCTGCCGCACTTCTACTCGTGGGCTCTGATTTCGCAAACGGCGGTGCCGACGGAGTCAGTGATGAGCGAGTGTTTTGTCACCCTCTGGGCAATAACGCGCGTTATGCCTCTACCCTCTCTCTCCCTTCTCCCCCCCTCCATAACGGAACGCTCCCCCCCTCAGTGCGTCCTCGGCATTGCCGCAGTGCGTCCGGCACCGCAGTGCGTCTTCCCCCCCTTCTCCCCAATAAAGCCCGTTATGGCCGCGAAGAAACACATGAGCTTTGACTGGGAGCGTTCTCGATGCTGGTGGTCATATGCGGGCTTCGTGCGTGGCCAGCACATCATCACCAGCACCCAAGGAGGAGGAGGAGGAGGAGGAGGAGGAGGAGGAGGAGGAGGAGGAGGGGGAGGAGGAGGAGGAGGAGGAGGTGTTGCCGCCAGTTTCCAGGCTGCCAAGGGCATGGGCCCTCTGCCTCCCCCTCCTAAAAAAAAAGGTCACCGACGGCGCCACGGTCTGCACCGCGGAGACGGGCGCCCGGTTCTCCAAGCTGGTGGAGTCCCTGTGGTGCTCGGCTGCGCGCGCAAGAAGCCAGACGAGCAAGGATCCACGATACAGTCAGCCCACATAGTAAGGATGAGCAACCTTCTCAAGGGTACCCTTGCATCCTTGCCCCTCCGGCCCATCCTTGGCGACTCTCGCTGGCCAACCTCGTTCGAAAAAGGCTGACGTGGCCCTCCAAGGCCCTTGCATCCTTACCGCACATCCTTATGATACGGGCCGACAGCAGTTCAGAGGGGGACAAGGTACGGGTACCCTGACGCCTCGAGCTCTCGCTCCCGCGGCTCGAGCAATGAGAGAGAGAGGTACACCGCACTCACTTCTATACCCCTGGGTGGGTGTATGTGCGGCCGTTTTTGCGCAAGCATGTGTGTGCATGTGCGGCATGTGCGGCAGTATTGTTGAGGCTTTTGTGGAGTTGCATGGGCATGTGCATTCGACTGTGCGGCATGTGCCTGCATGTGCGGCCCCTTCTGGATTTCAATTTGAATGTGAACACTTTAGAAGCGAGCGCTACAGAAATGAGTCCGGTGTACCGATATGCCGTCACCACGGCGGGATTCTCATCAACATTCTGGTCAGGGCGCACCCCAGCGAGAAGTCGTGATAGTATAGAGCCCTGGTGGTATTCGGCGCGGCAGAGGCTGGAGGAGCAAGGAGCCATGACAGTTCAGAGGAGGACCAGGTACGGTAGGCTCGCGCCGTGCCGGCCAGTGACGACCCCGCCGCCGGCGTTCAAGACGTTGAACGCCGCTGGCGACTAATCGGGACGATCGAAAATGGGTGCGTGCGATGCCCAACAGCAGTTCCTGTTCATTTTGAACATGACTCGTTGTCCGCGCCGCCGCAGACGTTGTTCCCTGAAGGCGAACAGCCGCCTGCCCAACAGCGGCCGCTCTCGGTTTTGGACAACATTTGTTGTTGGGCCCTGTACCCGTGTTTTCCCTACCTATTTCGGGTGTCCAAAACTAAGAATCGGTCGATGTGGAATGATCTTTCGTTTTGGAAACGGCCGATGTCAGGAGCCCATGCCGGGGTCGGCACGACACAAGCCTGCCAATACTGCTACCCTTCCCTCGTCACAGCGGCTGGATTCTGATCATAATTCTGGTCAGAGAACACTCCAGGCGAGGTCCATGGAGTAGCGGGGTGAGTATCTGCTGCTTTCCCTAATAATGATTTCTTCCAGAGTTTGCAGGGTTTCCCAGAGTTCATTGAATTCCGCACGGGCTCATTGCAGGAGAGCCACTACATGTTCCATAATATTCTGGAACGTATCCTGAGCCAACCGCATGATTACATCATTCTCGTCCTGTGAAGGGGGTGGGGCGGTGTGGCGGCATCGGCGCCAGTATATCTGTGGTCGACAGCCGGCCGAACCTGGCCCGATACCGCATGATCCTTTGCAGTCTCGCTTCGTCTGGGCTGATCCACATCTATGGCCTCTGGATTGAGCCTAGCTGCTCGTGTGAAGTGAGAAGGGGCGGGCCTTCTCAGAAGGCTTGGAAGTCCCCCAGCCCTCTGAGAAGTGCTCGAAGCTTCCCCTGAAGACGCAGACCTCTCAGAAGGCCGGAGGCCTTCAGAGAAGTCCCGCCGCCTCCTGAGAAGGCCTCCTCCCTCCGTTTCCCCCCTCGCTCGCCGCCGACCCCAGTCGATCCCCCCCCCCTGCGCGGCGCCAAGGCACTCGAAGACCTGCAGCGTGCTCGACGAGCTCGGCGGCGGCCTCCGGTGGTGCCGCCCCAGGGCTGGCCTGCCCGCCGCCTCGGAGACCGTGGCCTCGGGCAACCTCGGGTACACGCAGCTGCTCTTCACCTGCCACGAGCTCCGGGAGGCCGTGGCTGCCGAGGCTCGCGTGTCGGCCACCGGCACCGCCGCGGGTCAGGGGAGGGGCGGGATGCGGAGGCCGCTGCGCGTCCTCGAGAGCCCCGGTCGCCACGGCCGGATGTTCTGCGACACCCGGGTCAGAACGCATTCTGGGAGTGCCTTCTCACCAGACGTTCTCTGCGTGTCGCGTATGGACTCTGGCGATCTACGTCTCGCGTATGGACTCGGCGAGAAAATCATATCATTTTTTTGGGGTGTATCAATTCTGGAGTCGATCCCCCACTCGAGCCGTTCTGCGTGGGGCAAAGCCGCGAGGAGAAGGAGGAGGAGGACGAGGAGGAGGAGGAGGGGGAGGAAGGAGGAGGAGGAAGAAGGAGGAGGAGGAGGAGTCGATCCCCCGCTCGACGAATTCGCGGGGTCGTGGCCCCGGGGCCCGGCCCGCGAGGCCGCGCCTGCGGACATACGCGGCTGCGGCCCACGGCCCACGGGCCGCGCTCTCCTTGGCCCGGGGGGTCGCCCCTCCTGCGCGTGGCCGGTCGGAGGGCTGCCGGTCCCCCGTCGGGGGAGCCTGCGCAGGACCGCGCGGGTGCGTTCGGCCATCGCGGGGCCCCCTTCCCCGCGCAAATGATCTGGGGACGGAGGTTCGATGGTGGTGTTGTTGCTGTTGCTGTTGCTGTTGTTGTTGTTGGTGTTGCTGTTGTTGTTGCTGGTGTTGCTGTTGTGGCTGTTGTTGTTGCTGTTGCTGTTGTTGCTGCTGCTGCTGTTGCTGTTGCTGTTGCTGTTGCTGTTGTTGTTGTTGTTGTTGTTGTTGTTGTTGTTGTTGTTGCTGGTGTTGCTGTTGTGGTTGTTGTTGTTGCTGTTGTTGTTGCTGCTGTTGCTGCTGTTGCTGTTGTTGTTGTTATTGTTGTTGTTGTTGTTGTTGTTGTTGTTGGTGGTGGTGGTGGTGGTGTTGTTGTTGTTGCTGCTGCTGTTGTTGCTGTTGCTGTTTTTTTGTATATTTGGTTGTTCCTCATTTCCCTTCCAAAATCCGCCTGCCCGACCTGATGTGAGTCCAGCCGTGTGTGCGAGTGCAGCGCTTCTCTGGCGCGCCCCGCGCGAGGCGCAGGAGGGGCGGGGCGCCCTGGCCGACATGGTGGCGCACCCCCTGGCGCTGCTGTGCGCGCTGCTCTACACGCAGCAGGACTCGGGAGCAGGAAAGGGCTCGGCAGCAAAAGTCCTGGGAGCCTGGCTGGCTGGCTGGCCGGCTGAGAGCCGAGCAGCCGGGAGGCTGGCGTGGGCAGAAGAGTGCACGATTGGCAGCTCTCCGTGGAAGTCTCGATTGTGAGGCAGAAAAACGGTGCAGGAAACAAGAGAGGAGCGGGAAGGGAAAGGGAGGAGGAGGACGACGAGATGTGCGTACCCTGTTAATTCCGTCTTTAGCGTCGATAGCGGCTGGGAGTCGATGAGGTAGCGCCGATGTAGCGTCGGCTAGCGTCGATTAGCGTCGATGTAGCGTCGATGAGCGTCGATTAGCGTCGATTTAGCGTCGATTTAGCGTCGAATAGCGTCGATTCGCAAGAGCCGACAAGACGGTATGGGAGGCTCCCACGAGTTGCCACTGAAAACAAGGCCCAAAACTTGCGAAGTAGAGTGGAAACGCATGCCAAGAAACACCCTGCTTGCCTCCAGTGCGCCCTGAGTCTCTTGGGATTTGGTGGTTTGGGCAATGGAAAGCCTGACGTTCCCACACCACGAATCAATGCACGCCCTGAAATCTCATCGTTGGAGTTTTTGTGTAAGGTTTCTTGTGCTCGAGCTCCTACTGTACCCCTGCCTCGTTTTCGCTTCTTTGGGCCTCCTGGGAGGCCCTCGTCGCCACGGCCGGATTCGCCTCGGAATCCTGGTCAGCACGCGCCCTGGAGGGCGTTCCAGAAAGCTCTCAGGGCGTTTCGGAACGCTCTGAGAAGGCCGCGGCACCCGATACATCCTCCAGAACCGCCGGATCTCAGAGATTCTCGATTTAGCTTCACCCGATCTTATGCTCGTCCTGGCTTCGTCGTCACCTTCTGGTCTCCCGAAGGATGTGGACATCGACCGCCTCATGCTGTTTCCGGACACGCCCGCGCTCCAGGCGGCCGGCGTTCCCAGATCCCCCCCTGGGGCTGTAGTGGCGCATCGACGCGGCGGCGACGCCGGCGAGGGCCTTCCAGACGGAACACCCTTCGAGGTGGCTTGTCTCGATCCAGGGGAACAAGGAATGGTATAAACACAACGAATGTGGCGAGATGGTTCTTTCAAGGCGCGGCCCAGAGGTCGAGATATCCACGTCCTCCAAGCGAAGCGACCAAAGGTGGCCCACGCTGGCACGCAGCAGCACGCACATCGGGAAACAAGCAGCGACATGAACATAACAGCTAGGAGCTCCGCGAGGATTTCCCGCATCGGCGCTGGGGCCCCCTGGCGGCGCCGCCCCTGGCCGCTCCTGGCGCGCTCCGCGCCCCAGGGAGCGGGGTCTCCAGCGCCGATCGGAGACATCCGCGCGGACCTCAGAGTTTTTCGGCTTACGTCAGTGCTCGTTCCCCTAATACTCACCACCCACCAGCCGCCCCAGCCCGATCCGAAGGCCCCAGGTTGATCTGCCATATATACGTTCCCCATAAAGGGGGGGGGGGGGGGGGGGGGGGGGGGGCCCGTCGGGGACCAGTGGCAGAGGCACGCGTGGAACGCGCACCCCTCCCCCCCCAAACCCAACGCCTGGGTCCTCGGGCTGGGTCGGGGTGGTCTGGCAGGCAGGGCCCCTGCGGCCCCCAGGGGGGGCCAGCGGGAGCAGGCCCGCGGCGCGGGCCCGACACCGCCTCCGTGCCGCCGCGAGGGGCGCCGGGCGAGGAGCGGAGAGGGGGGGGGGCGCTCCGGTGGGCCGTGGCGGGCCTCGGCCACGGAGAGGCCCCCACACGCCCGGACCGAAGACCAGGGCAGGATCATGGAGGAGGGAGGGAGGGGGGGAGGGAGGGAGGGGGGAAGGGAGGGAGGGAGGAGGGAGGGAGGGAGGGAAGGAGGGAGGGAGGGAGGGAGGGAGGGAATGAGGGAGGGAGGAGGGGGAGGAGGAGGAGGAGGAGGAGGAGGAGGAGGAGGAGGAGGAGGAGGAGGAGGAGGAGGAGGAGGAGGAGGAAGAGGGAGGAAGGGAGGGAGGGAGGGAGGAGGAGGAGGAGGAGAGGAGCGCGCCGAAGACCAGGGCCCCTCCAAAGGAGCTGGAGTGGCCCTCGGCGGCACGAAGGGTGGCCTCGAAGCCTCTCGGCTCCTTTTTTCGGGGTCTCGACTGCACGATCGGTTGCCTCGAGAGCCCCCGGATCAGGATGCAACTTTTTCTTTCTGTCTCTCTCTCTCTCTCTGTCTCTCTCCCTCTCTCTCTCTCTCTTTCTCGAGGAGGAGGAGGAGGAAGAGGAGGAGGAGGAGGAGGAGGCAACTCTCGAAGAGCAGAAAAGTATCGGCACAGACGCAAATTGCTGGCCCTTCTCGCGGATTCCTCGGTGGTCGGAGCTGGGCCCCCCCCCCCTGGCGGCGCTTCCGACGCCCCCCCTGGCGCGCTTTCAACGGCGCCAGGGTCGGGGGGTCCGGCGCAGAGCGAAGGAATCCGCGCAGACCGTCGAGCATTTATGTTTGTGCCGTTTTGTTCCTCCTCCCATCGGATCGGAGGTTGATAGACCCCCTACCCTGACATGTCGATTAACGAATCGGCCGCTTTCGGTTCGCGAGAGGGCGTCGCGTCCGTCCTTTCTGCGGGTGCACGTCCGTCGGTTTCGTTCCCAGGCCGTTTTCACTAAAGGGTGGTTTACTGAAGGAAGGTTTGTCCACCGCCCATCGAAAAACAGCACATTGCATAAACATAAACTTTTGGCGCCCCGCGCGGATTTCTCGGATTCGCGCTGGGAACCCCCTGGCGGCGCTTCCGGCGCCGCCCCTGGCGCGCTTCTGCGCGCCAGTGAGGAGGGTCCAGCGTAGATCCAAGACATCCGCGCGGCGCGTCAAACAATTATGCATATGTCATGTTGTTATTTCTTCCAACTCCTGGGATGGTAAATTCAGCATCGGCGCGGGCACAGCCGTGTTCGGAAGCTGGCCTGGTCTGGCTTGATCCCGTTCGATTCCGCATGACCTTGCCAAAATCCCAGTGTATCTGGCTTCATCCTGGGTTCCATTTGCAGGCCAAGTCGGGCGTCATTGCCCTGATAGCCTTTCTTGCGCAGACCTCCCAGGAGTTGCCTGGTAACCCGTGTCACCGTCTTGACCGAGAACAGGTGGCACCGAGCGCCCCTTTGGAGGAAGCCCCCGGACACCGCGAACGATCAGTGCTGCAATGCTGTCCGTCTCTTCCTGCACGCGGACCAGGGGCCCTCGTCGTCACGACTGGCGGCGCCGACTTCCGTCTCGGGGGCCGATGCATCTGGCCTGCGTGCAGGATGCATCCTGCACGAATGCCTGGCCGAGAGAGCGATCTTTCTCCCATCAGTGCTTGCACTGAGGGGGTCCGAGCGGAAATTGAAGGATTTGGCGAACGTGTCCCGCCGATTTTTGGCGGCCGGTTGGGTTCCCAGGTTCACGGTTCCGTGTTCCCGGATTCCTGATTGTTGGTTCCAGGCCGAGTTCGGTGGGTTCCGTGCTCCCCGGTTTCCTGGTCGATCTCCTTATCGATCAAACCATCTATTGATTGGGTTTTTTTTCTCTGGTGCACTCCTTGAGCTTGCATCTTTTTATGATGGGCCTGTTTTCCACCACCACCGCCATAAGTTGGAGGAGGAGGGGGTCCTCCTCCTCCTCATCCTCCTCTTCCTCCTCCTCGTCCTCCTCCTTCCCCCCTCCAACTTATGGTGGTGGTGGTGGAAAACAATCCCATCATTTTTACGCAGGCCTGTGCACAAACCTATGCCGCACCCCAGGTGCTGCAGGGAGGGGCTGCTGACCCGGGAGACGCGTACGAGGCCGGGGGGGGGGGGGCGGGCGAGAGGTGGTGGTGTGGTGTGGGGGATTGGGCAAAGGGTTCTCCTCGTCCTGCTCGTCCCCCCTCCCTGCTCGCCCTTCCCATCCTCTTCCCCTCTCCTCCTCTCCTCCTCCCTCTCTCCTCCTCCTCCTCAGGGTACCCATACTCCTCCTCCTTCTCCTCCTCCTTCTTCTCCTCCTCCTCCTCGTCTTTCTCGTCTACAGTAAAGATGCTGAAATATGGAGCGGTTTGAGTACAAAAGGGGCGCGATATTCCTTAGGTCCTTCCACGGCTGTCCCTCTAGCCCTCCTCGTGCACGCAGGCGCTCTTGGGGCCAAAACGGGGCTTCGTTCCTATTTGTCGCTCCCTATCTCAGCAGCCCGACTGCAGCTGTCCTGGGGGAACTCCTGGTGTCATGGCTGGACGCGCGGACCGTTTGTGGGGAGGTCGTCAGCCCATCACAAGAAGACAGTTCTGAGCAGATCACACCTGGTCGCTCGGGATAGGTCCGACTCCTCCTCCTCCTCCTCCTCCTCCTCCTCCTCCTCCTCCTCCTCCTCCTCCTCCTCCTCCTCCTCATCCTCCTTGCGGCGCAACTGCTACCCAGCCTGCCCGCCAGCAGCATCCTAGCAGTATCCTCCTCGTTCTCCCACCTCTCATCCTCCTATCGCCCAGGCCGCCCGCGGGGGAGGAGGAGGAGGAGGAGGAGGAGGAGGAGGAGGAGGAGGAGGAGGAGGACGAGGACGAGGACGAGGAGGAGGAGGAGGAGGAGGAGGAGCAAGAATGGCAGGAGAAGGAGGAGGAGGAGGAGGAGGGGGAGGAGGAGGAGGAGGAGGAGGAGGAGGAGGAGGAGGATTGTTGGGAAAGGAGGGGGTCGCGATCCCACTCCTCCGAAGATCCTGACGTGTTCGATCCTGGCGCCTTTCCCTGTTTGGGGCCCGCTGCAGGGGGCGTGTCGGTTCCGCGGGGCGGGGGGCCAACCCGGAGGGAGGGCGGTCGGGGTCTCCTGGGGCTGGGCGCTGAAATCAAACCACGCCTCCGGAGCCTTGAGACGGGGGTCAGTGCAAACGAAGAATGGCATAAACATAGTAACTCGGAGGTCCTTGCGGATTTCTCGGATCCGCGCTGGGGGCCCCGTGGCGGCGCCTCCGGCGCCGCCCCTGGCGCGCCCCGCGCGCCAGGGAGGGGTCTCCAGCGCGGATCCGAGAAATCCGCGCGGACCTTTGAGTTTATATGGTTTATACACGCCGGTCGTTGAGAGTAGGTATTTCTTCGAGAGCCTTGAGACGGCGGTCAATGCAAACGGAGGTCAGCCAGAGCGCCCGATGTTGCGGGATCCTTCGGGGCCAGGGTCGCATTGGCCCGGGCTTGGGTGCAGGATCTTGCAGGATCCTTCGCATTGACCCGGGTTTGGGTGCAGGATCTTGCAGGATTTTGCAGGATTTTGCAAGACCCAGGTCTTGATGAACCCAGGTCAGAAGGTCCCCGGAGCTGCATGCAGCCGGTTTCGACCCCTCCGCCAGGGGTCAGTGCAAACGAAAAATGGCATAAACATAGTAACTCGGAGGTCCTTGCGGATTTCTCGGATCCGCGCTGGGGGCCCCGTGGCGGCGCCTCAGGCGCCGCCCCTGGCGCGCTCCGCGCGCCAGGGAGGGGTCTCCAGCGCGGGTCCGCGGACCTTTGAGTTTATATGGTTTATACACGCCGGTCGTTGAGAGTAGGTATTTCTTCGAGAGCCTTGAGACGGCGGTCAATGCAAACGGAGGTCAGCCAGAGCGCCCGATGTTGCGGGATCCTGCGGGGCCAGGGTCGCATTGGCCCGGGCTTGGGTGCAGGATTCTGCTGGATCCTGCAGGATCGTTCGCACTGACTCGGGTTTGCGCGCAGGATCTTGCAGGATTCTGCAGGGCCTCACTGACCCGGGGTCAGTGCAAACGAAGAATGGCACAAACACAGTCACTCGGAGGTCCGCGCGGATTTCTCGGATCCGCGCTGGGGTCCCCTGGCGGCGCCTCCGGCGCGCCCCCTGGCGCGCTCCGCAACGCGAGTTCGAGAAATCCGCGTGGACCTCCGAGTTTATATGTTTTATACACGTCGGTCTTTGAGAGTAGGTATTTCTTCGGGAGCCTTGAGACGGCGGTCAATGCAAACCGGGGTCAGCCAGAGCGCCAGATGTTGCGGGATCCTGCGGGGCCAGGGTCGCATTGGCCCGCGTTTGGGTGCTTGGGTGTGGGCGCAGGATCTTGCAGGATTCTGCAAGGCCTGACTGACTCGGGGTCAGTGCAAACGAAGAATGGCACAAACACAGTCACTCGGAGGTCCGCGCGGATTTCTCGGATCCGCGCTGGGGCCCCCTTGGCGACGCCCGGGGCGCCGCCCCTGGCGCGCCCCGCGCGCCAGGTTGACCTGGGTCAGAAGGTCCCCGCAGCTGCATGCAGCTGGTTTCGACCCCGCCGCCGGGCGCCTTCCTCGACGTGCAGTCGAGACTGATCAGCAGGTCGACCCTGTCGAATCGAGAGTACCCTCGTGTCAAGCAGTCGCGAAGCGTCCTGGCGTGCCCATAGGCCCACCAGAGACTGCTCAGAACCTTCTGCGGTCTGCACGAAGTGTTCTCTCGGAACCGTTCTGGCCGAGACTGTGTTTGTTTTAGCACGTCGGGCTCATGCTCAAGGAACATTATTGTCGGCCCAGGTTCGTAGGTCGACCCTGCCAAATCCAGGGAACCCTTGCGTCCTGTGTCTCGCGACCCATGCTTCCCACATTCCTGTGGCAATGTGGCCCTCGGAAGGGTCTTGTGTCCTCTCGCGTGTCCTGTCCAATCGAGTCCGACTGTATCGTGGCTCCTCGAAGATTTTTGGGGTTCTGAGAGCCTGTCGGGGTAGGCCCCTGGAAGTGCCGGGACGGTCGGCCCCGGCTCAGACAGCAGCTGCAGGCAGCCGGTTCCGGCCCCACCGCCGAGCGCCTTCCTCGACCCAGGAAGGGAAAAACACACAGGCACAATGAATCGTCGATTCTAAAGATATGTATGTATAGATATATATATATATATACATAGATATGTTGAGATGTTGGAGAAAATATGGGAGGTGGGGGGAAGACGAAATTCGAGAAAATATGGCAAAATATGGGGAGTCCTTGGATTTGTGTGTATTCATTTGTGTGTGTCCCCGGGCCCCCTCCTCGACGTACAGTCGAGATTGATTCGTAGGCCGGCCCTGTCAAGTCGAGGGTGCCCTCGTGTCCTGAGCTTCGCGGCCCATGCCTTCTTGTGATCGTTTGTTGATTCATTGTTTTGCCGATCGGCGCGGGCCCCTAAACCCTCCCTCGCCCCCCCCATGGAGTGGATCTTGGCTGTTTCCCGGTGCCTGTTTCGGGCGGGTGGAGTCTCACCTATGGGGCGCATTGCTGCAAACTGTCGCACTAAGCAGAGGTCCGGAGCCAGACCCCCCCCCCCTTCCGCCCAATGTCGAAACGCCGGATAAAAAACTCTCACCTTACATTCCTATGGCAATGTGGCCCTCAGAAGGGTCTTGTGTACTCTCGCGTGTCCTCTCCAATTAACCCCGACTGTGCATCGTCGTTCCCGTCACTAGGATGCTTGGGAGAAGCCAGCTGATTACGCAGGCTTTGTCCCGCACTCCTCCCCCTGTCCGACTCCCCATCAGGAGCGACAAACAAGCCGCACCCCACATCCTCTCCTGCCCCCCATCAGGAGCGACAAGAAAGGCGCACCACATGCACAGGATGTTCGTGGGTCTCGAGAGCGTGAGTTTGCTCGACCGCTCGCGCGGGCTGGGGGGCCGTGGTCATGCTCCGCGGCCGGGCGCGTGCGCCCCTCGTGCCCCCCACGCCTCGCTAGGACGCGACTCCTGTAAGGGTAAGTTCGGCATCGGCGGCGCTGGCAGATCCGTGGGCGGAACTGGCTCAATCCAGCGTGGTCCTGTGCAGTTCCGTTCAGTCGGTGATGGGCCTATTTCCACCACCACCACCACCATAGGTTGGAGGGGGGAAGGATGAGGAAGAGGACGAGGAGGAGTAAGAGGAGGACGACGAGGTGGAGGAGGAGGAGGAGGAAGAGGAGGACGACGAGGTGGAGGAGGAGGTGGAGGAGGAGGAGGAGGAGGACCCCCATCCCCCTCCAACTTATGGTGGTGGCTGTGGTGGAAAATGAGCCCATCAATCGGAGCTCATCTGGCTTAGCCATGCTCAGCCTCAGCCCTTCATTGGGCTGAGTAGTAGCACCCAGTCGTTCCCACAGAGACCCTCCAGGACTTGCCTCCCCGCCCCTCTGCCCGCCCCGGGAGGCCTACAGGGAGCGTCTCGGCCACGTCGGAGCGCCCCAGCGGAACCCGATCCTCTTCAGCGAGGCTCCTGGCGGGTTTCTCCGAAGGGCTTCAGCGACCCGTCCTCCTCCTGCCTCCTCCCTCCTCCCTCATCCCTCATCCCTCATCCCTCCTCCTCCTCCTCCTCCTCCTCCTCCTCCTCCTTCCGTAGCCATTTTGGCTCAAGTGGGATACCTCCCCACTTGAGCCGAAATGGAATCCATAGCTATCTACCTCGAGGGCATCCGCTCCCAGCGTTTTGGCCCGCTCTTCCATATCGACTCGCCCCGCGTGGGCCCGCATGCACTCGGCTGCTGCGAACGCTCATGACGCCGAGGCACGCTCGAGTGATCCCGACCGTGCTGCTGGGGCTGTTCCTGCCGCTGATCGAGCTGGTGCAGATGCCGCACTCACGATCCGCTGCGGCACGATATGTTCGCCGCTGCCGCGCTCTGCATCATCACTGCCATCATCCACGGCGTGGCGCTCGTCATGCCCTCCAACTTCATGTACTCGTGCCCCCTGCAGCTGAGCGTGCTGGGCGCCAGATACTTCAGCTACACGTTCTTCTTCCCCAAGCGATTGCGACGCCGTCCATCACCCCACTGGGCACCTGCATGGGCAACGAGCTGCCGCTGGTCGCGACCTTCCTGCAGCTGATTCGCGGGCGGCCCCCCGATCGTGGTGTGGTGTTCGCGATGCTCCGCATAGTGACCATCATCATGACGATGCTGCCGTCCTGCACGCCCCACCTGCTGCCGTCGCTGGTGGCGATCATTCTCATCATGACCCTCCTCAAGCCGTCACCGCTGGATGCCCCGCCGGCGCCGCTGCTGGCGATCTGCATGCTCAGCCCGTCCATGGATCTGAAGTTCGGTTGCTTGAGAGGGGGCCCGCCCTCCCCGGCGAAGTTGTGCATTCTCACGCCCCTCCCGTGCTGCTGCCTGGTGTGGACTTCGCTGCACGCCCCGTCCCTCCCGAAGAGGCCCTTCCTCTGGCCCCGCCGCCTGGAGTGGCTGCGTCTCGTCCCGTCCATCCCGGAAAAGCTCTGCATGATGGTGCTCGGGCCGCCCCGCTTCCTGATGATGCTCTTCATGATGATGCTCCGTGTGCTGCTGCAGACGCTAATGCACGCCTGCTTGAAGAACGCCTGCATGAAGAGCCAATGCATGAAGAACACCTGCACGCCAATCCTCACGAACCTCTTCAGCTTCGCCGCCAGATGTTCGACACCTGTGTGTACTCTCTCGCTGCCCTGTTCGACACCTATGTGTCCTCTCTCGCTGCCGCGGACGCCGCTGATGCCGCTGTTCCTGAAGTCCACGCGCACGCTCGTGATGTTCCGCCGCTTGACCTTGTGCACGATGCCTGTTGTGGTGAACGCGCTCATCGCGATGTCGCTGTTCGTCGATTAGTGTGTAACGTGGATAGCCCTTCCAAGGGGAAGAGAGAGAGGGTGGGCGACCCACGTTCCACCCATTCCAGGTCGCTCGAGACGGGGCCCGTCCTCTCCGCCGAAGATGTGCATTATCACGCTCATGACGTGCTGCCGCCTGGTGTGGACTATGCTGCACGTCCCGTCCTTCCCGAAGACGCTCTTCACCTGGTCCCGCCTCCTGGAGTGGCTGCGACTCGTCCCGCCCGTCCTGAAGGTGCTCTGCATGATGGTGTTCGAGCCGCCCCGCTACCTGATGATGCTCTTCCTGATGATGATCCGTGTGCTGCTGCCGCCGCTGAAGCACACCTGCCTGACGTTCTCCCGCATGAAGGACACCTGCATGAAGAACACCTGCACGACAATCCTCACGGACACTTGCATGAAGTATGCCTGCCTGGAGCACACCTGCATGACAATCCTCAAGAACACTCGCATGAAGTACACCTGCATGCCGTTCACCTGCACGGAGAACACCTGCATGAAGACGCTCGCCGCGATCCCCCCGAAGATGATCGACATGACTGGGCGGTCCCTGGCGTCGAGTACCTTCGCCGATCCGCCCCTCTTCAACTCCGCTGCTGCTGCACGGCTCATGCTGATCTGGCAGATCGTCTGGTGGATCCCTAAGAAAGCCTGCGTGTTGCTGCTCGTGCCGTCCCGTCGCCTGGAGTGCCTGACGCTGTACCCCACAAACAAGCTCTTCCTGCCGCTGCCGCTGGTGGCGAACGACCCCGCCAGGCCGACCTCTCCACGCCCCCCGTCGATGTGATTGCGACGACGCTGAGTAAGCTGGAGGAGGCCGCCCGTGTCTGTCCCGAAGAAGCCGTGCATGATCCTGTTCGTGCCGTCCCGCCGCCTGGAGTGGCCGACGCTGTCCCCCACGAACATGCTCTTCCTGCCGCTGCCGCTGGCGGCGAAAGACCCCGCCAGCCCGTCCTCTCCATGCCCCCCGTCGACGTGACCGCGACGACGATGAGTAGGCTTGAGGAGCCCGCCTGTGAATGTAGCCCCGCTGTCGCGGCCAGCCGAGTGCCCCCCGACAGGCCCTCTACTTCCCGCTCTTCCCATTCGCCTGTGCCCCCCGTCCCTGCTTTCCCCACTTTCCCGAGCATCCCGCACGACCTACTATCCGCTCCCCGTGTATGGCCCCATGCTCACTGCAGCATTGGTGGTGCCAGATCGGCCGAGCGTCCATCCCCAAGTACAGGCCAACCACCGTCCTAGCCGATCTGCGCCGAGCTAGACGGACGAGTTCGCCTCATGGGTACTTGCACTCCTCCTCCTCCTCCTCCTCCTTCTCCCTCCTCCTCCTCCTCCTCCACCTCCGCCTCCTCCTCCTCCTCCTCCACCTCCTCCTCCTCCTCCTCCTCCTCCTCCTCCTCCTCCTCCTCCTCTTCCTCCTCCTCACACACACGGACTGTCCGGAGCCCCGCGCGATTGGCTCGGAGCGGCACCGTGCGCCCCCCTGGCGTCGCGCTGCGCGCCGGGGAGGGGGGCCCGGCGCCGATCCAGGAAGTCAAGCAGTGGCGAAGCGTCCTGGCTGGCCTATAGCGCTACCAAACAATGTTATGTGAACCTTTTGTGGCTTCCAGGAAATGTTATTAGAACATTTCTGGCGGAGTCTGTCTTGTTTTATCACATCGGGTTATGTTGTAAGAACATTGTTCCGTTGTTAAAATATGTGTGGGTTCTAAGAACATTTCGTGGTAGGACTATAGGAATGCCAGGACGGCCGTTCCCCGGTCAAGGAAAGTCGCGCGGGCCTCCGAGAGTTTGTGGTTCGGGCGGGACCTTCGGGCCATCCCCGCCATGTGGGGGGCGCAGCGGTGGGCGCGTCGGGGGAGCTCACCACCCACCACAGACCACCCCAACCCAACCCGAGGGACCCAAGGTGCCCTCCATTCCCAGGGGGGGGGGGGTTGCGTCGGGGAGCATCGAGGCAACACTTATGAGCGAGGCGACCAGAAAAGGGAGGTCGTCTGCGCCGACATGGGCGCGTAAGCTGCTCGCGCAAGGGCGCGCGTCAGCGCCTTCGTCGCCAGCGCAGCGTACCGCGCTGGCGGCCCGCGTAAGCCACCGCGTGAGGTCGCCATGCCATGTCGCGTAAGACCCGTTTCTGATCGTCGCTCGTGTGGGGCATTCTAGACAGGGCCGTGCCTGTGAGGATCGGAGGAGTTGTCCTCTCTTCCGCGGCCGACAGCAGCGGAAGGGCGGCGGAAAACCGGCGGAAGTAGACCGAGGTCGCCTCCGCCGGCGGAAGGGCGGCGGAAGGCAGCGGAAGTGAAATCTGCGCGCGGGATTTGGGGGTGGAAATCGTTTTTGTGTTCAGGGTTTCCGGAATCCGCCATATGGGACCTGGACCCTCCCCCACTCCGAAATTTGGGTCCTCGGGTTGGGTTGGGGTGGCCCGCGTAAACCACCGCCTAAGGTCGCGACGTCATCTCGCGTAAGACCCGTTTCTGAGCGTCGCTCATATGGGACCAGGTCCCATATGAGCAACGATCAGAAACAACGCGCGGAGCGGGGCAAGCTCCGTCCAGAGGAGCGCACTGCCCGGGCAAGCTCCGCCTTGCAAGAACGCGTTGCGGAGGCAAGAGTAATGGAGAAGGGACGCTCGGCGGTAACAGACGCTCATGGCCGCTAGTGAGTGGTAGCGCGGTGCCAAGATGACACGCAAAGGCTCCATAGATTTGACACGCAAGGACCTGTAAACCCCCAGCCCGAAGTTTGGGTCTTCGGGTTGGGTTTTTCCCAACCATCCTGTGGTGTTGGGTCCTCGTTTTGAAGAGACGTCGCCCCGCGTTCCTTCTCCTCCTCCTCCTCCTCTCCTCTTGGGTCCTCGTTTTGAAGAGACGTCGCCCCGCGTTCCTTCTCCTCCTCCTCCTCCTCTCCTCTCCTCCTCCACCTCCTCCACCCTCCTCCCTGCGTTTCCACACACCCATGATACAGCGCTCGTGGCACCACATTAGGGGAGAGTCCACCGAGAAGGCTCCTTTCCAGTAGGTGGCTTGGCCAGGTCAGCGTTCGCCCATGGCGGGCCTTCCCTCGCCCCATTTCGCACACCACTCACACGGCTCGTGGCCCCATAGGAGCTCCACCGAAGGCTCCAGTGGCAGCGTTCGCATGGCGGCCCCGCCCCATTTCGGCACACCCCTCACGAGGATCGTGGCCCCATAGGGAGTTCCACCGAAGGCCCCAGCGGCAGCGTCCGCATGGCGGCCCCGCCCCATTTCGGCACACCCCTCACGAGGATCGTGGCCACATAGGGAGCTCCACCGAAAGCGCCAGTGGCAGCGTTCGGCATGGCGGCTTCGGACCATTTCGGCACACCCCTCATGAGGATCGTGGCCCCATAGGGAGCTCCACCGAAGACGCCAGTGGCAGCGTTCGCATGGCGGTCTCGGACCATTTCGGCACACCCCTCAGGAGGATCGTGGCCCCATAGGGAGCTCCACCGAAGGCTCCAGTGGCAGCGTTCGCATGGCGGCCCCGCCCCGTTTTGGCGCACCCCTCACGAGGATCGTGGCCACATAGGGAGCTCCACCGAAGGCTCCAGTGGCAGCGTTCGCATGGCGGCCTCGGGCCATTTCGGCACACCCCTCAGGAG